ATACCGTATTTGCTTGCATGCCATACACCTTTTCCCCCAGAAGTTGCCCTTCCAAAATTTAGATGAATGTTATAAGCAGGGAAGTTAATTTCTGTGCCAGAATGGAAACACAGAGACTTTGGAATGGCTGCTAGTGCTGTGCTCTTCCCGCAGCCATCATGCAGCAGGGGCAGAGACAGTTCTTAATTGTCAGAGCTAGAGTTTTAACTCTCTCAGTAGCTTTTGCCAATTTGGCAGCAGCTTTGAGGGAGTTAAAATCCTAACTTTTAGCTGAGCATTCAGGGAAGGTTAGGTGACTCTGAAGAACAGGCCTTGGAAAAATCTTTTTGCTGTTCATTCTACATTCCCAAAACAAGATGAATCTTATTTGAGGGAATGTGTGATATGCAGAAATATACAGCACACCTCTTTAGACATTGTTTAAACTCAATTTCCTTTTGTGGCATATCATATTATTAAATAGATCTATTAAATAAATCACATTATTATTTGTTGTTGTCACACCAAGAAGTTCTGGTCTTGTACTAAGACCTCAATGCAATAGGTGCTTATGTTCCTGTCTTAAGGAGGTTGTTTTGTATATTCTACATGCCTTTGCACTACCTAGTGTTGTCAAGAATTTATTCCTGACAGCCTAGAGGAGTCATTATATTTATAACCAACAATGATGAAACATTACACAACATTAATATATTTAATAGAACGTTTAAACAAGCTTGAAATGTCAAACAAGCTTTAGTTAAAGCACCCCCACCGCCATCTTGTAGTGCGGGGACACTGAATGCACGAGACACGGAAGCTGCTGGAGCTTGCTAATTAGCATGCTCCAGCAGACAGAATTAATGGAGTCTGCCTTGATGCGCTGTAATTACAGTGCATCGGAGCACTATCCCTGCACATCTACAGGCACTCCTAACTTTCTACAGTTTGTTGCAAATTTTGGAAATACAGTCATTAAAATTGGATCTAGAAAAATAATTCTTAAGGTGCTTTTCACTAGGGGCATGAAAATGCTCTGTGAGCCTGACCCTGGAAAAAAAAAAATGTTGCTGTTTATTTGACCTGTGTATCCACATTGGACACTGTTTTGAAGGCACAAAGGACCATACCAGATCATCTCACACTACTTTCTTTCCCTGCCCTTTATGTGAGGTGGAGTGCCAGTGTCAAAACTGTTGCTTAATTAGGTTCTGACTTTACCTGCAATTACTTTTTAATTCATTTGTTCTTAATATATATTTAGGATTATTAGATGAGGGTGGAGGGGGAGAGCAGTGTTCTTTCCACTTCTTTCATGTTCTTTCCACTTCGTACCTTTTTTATTTCTCTCTCTTAACTGCAGGGAGATTATAATCCCTAACTGCAGTTTTTAAGAATGTGTTTTTTCACCCCTCCTTCCCTTTAAATGACAGTTCTAACACTTGTCCCTATTGCCTATGTGAGGATCATGTCTCTAAAAAATGTAGCATCTGTTGGTTGCTTTTCTGTAGAGCAAAAACACTAAGAGAAATTCAGCTGAAGACAGTTAATAAATACCCAGGTTGTGGACAGCTGTATATTGGCTTGAAAAGGGAGAAGGGAACTTCTGTTAGGGAGTATGCAGCAACTATCAAACTGTTAGAGTTATGTCTGCATGGCTCTGTAACGAATTCAAGGATCCAGGTTTTTTGGGGTTTTTTTAAATGCAAATTCTCTGATTTTAAAACCCCCAAATCTTCAGTTAAAATGAAGAGAGAGAGAGAGAGAGAGAGAGAGAGAGAGAGAGAG